CTCCTCCTCCTCCTCCTCCTCCTCCTCCTCCTCCCCCTCCTCTTCCTCGGTCCCCCTCCGTCCGTGCGACCGTGGGAGCCTCAGGCGGCGACTGCGCGCGGCGCCGAGGCGAGGGCCGCACCTGGACGCCTGCCGCCCACCACCCCGTGTGCGGGAGGAGGCCTCCGAGACGAGTGGGCGCGGCCCGTGCGAGGAGCGACACTCTGGGAACCAGCGGTCCTCTGTCCGAGGAGCCCGCTGCAGCTTCGGGGTCGCAAGTTGCAAGGTGGTCTCAAGCCGGGCTCGTCCCTCTACGGGGGGGAAGTTCCAAAACGGTCAAAACATAGTCAGGGGACTATTTTGTTGAATATTTTTTGGCCATGCTGAACACGTTTTTAGCATCTTTTGTTTCTCCTCCAAAATTCCCCTGTAGGGGGACACGCCCGACCTAATCCGAGGAACCTGTTGCAGCTTCGGGGTCGCATGTTGCACGGTAGTCTCAGGCGACACGCCCAACCTGGCCCCTGCGCCCAACCTTGTGGTTCGACGCGGAGGAGCTGCTTTGGGAGAGCTTGCTCCCGAGCTCACTCTTAGGCGTGCCGCTCGGCACCGTCGACGGTGCAGTCGTCTCCTCTCCTCCCTGCCCGCCCCCTCTGCTCTCGACCTCCCCCCGTGCTCCGTCCCTCCTCAGGAGGGGACAACATGGGGAAACACACAGACACAATAATCGTCGATTCCCCAGAAGATCTGGGAAAATATGGGAAGTGGGGGGGAAGACAAAAACCCAGCAAACATGGGAACATATGGGGCATCCCGTGATCTGTGTGTGTATTTGGACTCGTGTGTCCCAAGGCCCCTTCACCTCCGCCCTCTTCCTCCCTCCCTCTGCTCTCGGCCTCCCCCGCAGGTGCGAGAGATCCACGCCGTGAAGAAGCGCCGCGACGAGCGCGAGGCCCCCGGGGCGGGGGGAAGGCCATCGGGGAGAGGGCCGCGGCCGCCTGGCCCCCGCGCGGCGGGCTCGCCGCCCCGCGCCGGCGCCGCGGCGGCCCCCGGGGCGCCGTGCGCTCGCCGGGCGCTTCGGGCGGCAGTCCTCCTCCTCCTCCTCCTCCTCCTCCTCCTCCTCCTCCTCCTCCCTCCCTCCTTTCGGTGTGTGTGCGCCCCTCTCCTCCTCTCCTCTCCTCTCCTCTCCTCTCCTCTCTCCTCTCCTCTCCTCTCCTCTCCTCTCCTCGCCTCTCCTCTCCTCTCCTCTTCTCTCTAGGCAGTCTAGCTGGGGTCGGAGCAAGTAGATGGGGTCGGAGGGTCGCGCCGCACCGCCGACGCATCACCGATGCGGCTGGATGCTGGCCCGACTTTCACCACCCACCAAACCACCCCAACCCAACCCGAAGGCCCAGATTTACCCTCGATTTCCAGTGGAGGGGGTCGGGAAACATAGCAAAAACACGTGTGAAACCCTTAACCACCCCCAACCTGAAATTCGGGTCTTCGGGGTGGGGTGGGGTGGTCTGGTAGGTAGTCAGGATCGGGGTCGGAGGGTCGCGCCGCACCGCCGACGCATCGCCGATGCGGCTCGGTGCGGGCCCGACTTGCTCCACGCCGGCGTCGCCGACGCGCCGCCGGCGTCGGCGATGCATCGCCGGTGCATAGCCGATGCATCGCCGACGCATCGCGGATGCATCGCCGGTGTATCGGCGGTGCGGCGCGACCTTCCGAGCCCATTTGCTCCGACCCCATCTGGGAGGTCTTTAGGCAGGCCACGGGGGGGGAATAACCGGGGGCGGATCGAGGACTGCAGGGAAGCGGCCCTCAAGGGGCCGGGCCCTGGATTGCTCCCCGTCCCGGTGTGCTCACCGGGCCCCCGGCTTATGCGGGGGGGGGATTGAGCTCATGGGTGGGGGAGGAGGGGGTGAGGATGACGAGGAGGAGGAAGAGGAGGAGGAGGAGGAGGAGGAAGAGGAGGAGTAATACTGCTCAGAAGAAGGAATCAGAAAAACAAGAGGAGGAAAAAGAGGAGCAGCAGGAGGAGGAGGAGGAGGAGGAGGAGGAGGAACAATAAAATAATATCAAAACAATGGAGGAGGAGGAGGAGGAGGAGGAGGAGGAGGAGGAGGAGGAGGAGGAGGAGGAGGAGGGGGAGGAGGGGGAGGAGGGGGAGGGGGAGGAGCAGGAGGTACAGGAGCAGAGCAGGAGGAGGAGGAGGAGGAGGAGGGGGAGGAGGAGGGGGAGGAGGAGGAGGAGGAGGGGAGGGGGAGGGGAGGGGGAGGGGGAGGGGGGGGAGGGGGAGGAGGAGGAGGGGAAGGAGAGGAGGAGGAGGAGGAGGAGGAGGAGGAGGAGGAGGAGGAGGAGGAGGAGGAGGAGGAGGGGAGGGGGGAAGGAAGAGGAGGATAGGGGGAGTTGGAGGGGAGAGGGAAGGGGGGGGGGAGGAGGAGGGGGAGGTGAGGAAGGAGCAGGAGGAGGAGGAGGAGGAGGAGGAGGAGGGGACGAGGAGGAACAGCAGGAGGAGGAGGAGGGGGAGGAGGAGGAGGAGGAGGAGGAGGAGGAGGAGGAGGAGGAGGAGGAGGAGGAGGAGGAGGGTGGCGCCCCATCCCGACCTCTTGAAACGGCGCGAGTCGTTTTTGGACGGCGCCGAGGCGGGGTGTAAGGACTCCGACAGGCCGAGAACGCCGAACCAAAACCATCGTCTTGAGTGTTGTTGTTCGAGTCGCTAGATGTCCATGGTTAATCCCCGCGTGGCCGCGCCTTCCTCTCCAGTAGTGTCGAAGCGTCTGCCCATGGGCGCATCAAATAATGTTCCGAGAACCTTTTGTGGTTTGCGCGAGATGTTTTTGGAACATTTCTGGCCGAGGCCGTTGGTCTCAATACACTAGCTTCATGGTCTAAGTACACTGTTTTGGGGGCTTCAAGCTTTCTTGCTGGATCTAAGAACATGTCGTGGTAGGACTATAGGAGATGCCGGGACGGTCGGTCCCTGCTCAATTTCCTCTTCTGGGCCTCCGTGTCCAGCTCCAGGCCTCCCAGACGGAGTCCAAGCAGACGGGGTCGAAGAGCGCAGGCGATTTTTCCCCCCCAGTGGCCCCCGACCTGTCGACGAAGAAGGAAGCCGCACCTTCCTCCCCGCCGCAGGTGGAGAGGGAGCTGCTCGAGAAGCAGCGGGCGGAGCACGACCGGGAGCGGCACGACGAGGAGTTCGACGAGCGGGCCGCCCGGGCGCCCTCCCGGGCTGTCGCCGCGGGCGATCCCGCGCGCGCGCGGGGGGCCTCGTTGGCACCTCTCGGGCGTGTGCGCGTTGTGTGTTCGGCGAGGCCAGCGCCAGAGAATCCGGACCAGCTGTCAAGCAGTGGCGAGGTGCGCCTGGCGTGCCTCGAGGCCTGCCAAGCAATGTTCTGAGAACCTCCTGCCGTTTCCACGCGCTGTTAGCATCTCTGGCGGAGCCTGTCTTGTTTTACCGCACCTGGTTTATGTTCTAAGAACATCGTTTCTGTTCTTCGAACATTTTGGGTTCTGAGAACATCTCGTGGTAGGACTACAGGATTGCCGGGACGGTCGGTCCCTGCTCAAACCTGGGGTCATCCAGGATCATCTTTTCGGATACAATTCCTGGAAGGTCAAGTTCTGACTTTACCCTAGTCCGAAATCCGGCCGAATCCCGCCGAGTCTGGCTTTATCCCGTTTCGTCCATGATTCGCAGGACGTGTGTTACAGTGGAGGTCCATACCAAGAAACACTGTGCTAGCCTCCAGGGTGCTCTGGGTTTCTTGAGTGTCGATGGTTTTTGCTATGGAGAGCGTGACGCTCCCACGCCAGAAATCAATGGTTTCTAGTGGAAGATTTCTTGTGGACTGACCTCCAGGACGTGTGTTAGCCCAGTGTGTGTGTGTGTGTGTGTGTGTGCGTGTGTGTGTGTGTGTGTGTGTGTGTGTGTGTGTGTGTGTGTGTGTGTGTATGTCACCCTCGTTCGGCCTGTATCGGCCAGTGTTGCACCGCGTGCGTCACGTTGAAGGGCCTCCGTGGACCAGCACAAGCTGGCGCAGAAGGATGAGGAGGAGGAGGAGGAGGTGGAGAGGAGGAGGAGGAGGAGGATCATCGGTCTTGCCATCTCTCCGACGTGTGCGTTTTGTGGTTCGGCGAGGCCAGCGCCAGAACATCGGGACCATGTGGGGTCATCGAGGGTCATCTTTGAGAAAGACCAGCAAGATGTCTCAAGATAGCTTGAGGTGACTTCAGATGGCTCCCAAAATGCTCCCAGATGCCCCAAGACCTGTCCACGACGGCTCCAGGTGGCCACGGAACCTCCCCAGGAGGCCTCCAGAGAGGCCATATTCCTGCAAACAACTTCAGGAGCATCAGTGAGTTTGGCCTTCTCGCCTTTCTGCTCTCGATGGCCTCCCGAGGCCTCAAGATGGCTCCACGACAGCTCAAGATGGCTCCAAGACGGCTCCGAGGCCTTCACAGCGGCGCGGCGGCGCGCCGCTGCGCCTTCGCCAGCCCGGGCAGCAGGCGTGTGCTTCAAGCAGTGACGAAACGTCCTGGCGTGCCTGTAGTCCTACCAAACAATGTTCTAAGAAAACTTTGCGGTTTCCACGAGATGTTCTTAGAACATTTCTGGCGGAGTCTGTCTTGTTTTAACACATAAGGCTCATGTTCTAAGAACATTCATTTGGTTCTTAGAACATTAATTCGGGTTCTAAGACCATTTCGTGGTAGGACTATAGAAATGCCAGGACGGTCGGTCCCTGCTCAAGTGTTGTGATTCCGCCCGCCCACCCCAAGAACGCTGGGCCCCCAGCTGGCTGTGGCCTTGAGCGAGGCGACTGCGGAGTAGGACTGGGACGGTCGAATTGGGCACGGAAAGAAAGGGTACAGAGACCAGCAGCAGTACTTGCTCACGTTGAACAGGACGCACTGTCCGCGCCGCCGCGGACGTTGTTTGTTGAAGACGAAAAGCCGCCTGCCCAACAGCGGCCGCCGTCGGTTTGGGACAACATTTGTTGTTGGGCAGTGTACCCATTTTACCATACCCATTTCGGGCGTTCAAATATCAAGGGAGGGAAAAACACCGGGACCAGACAATCTGCGTTTACCAAACGGACTTGGGCGTTCACCAAACAGCCCTGCCCTGTTAGAGTCCTTCTGTGGGGGCGTTTAGCAAACGGCTCCGCGCGTCGGGGTGGTTCTTATGGGGGTGGATTTGCTGCCCTCGAAAATTGGCAAAGGGGGGGGGAGAAAGGCGAAGGGCAGAAGACTGGGCTGCGCCAGATGAGGAAGCCCTCTGTTCCCACGAGCGTCCAAGATGATGTACTGCCCCCCGTCGCCCTCCGTCAGGAGCACTGCAAAGTGATCGCGGGGAGCCCACCGCGCCTGGTGCAATGCTTCTCCGCAGAGCGTATCTTGGTCTTTGTTTGGTAGCGATCGTGGAGGGAGGAGTTCGGCATGGTTTCGGGTCGGCGGCCCACTAAGTGGGGAAGGATGTGTTTGTCTTCGACGAAGGTATAAACCCGTCCACCAAGAGGAAGACGGGGCTGGAAGAGTAATCTCATGATCTGGTGAATACTAACAGTACTAATAATCATACGAACAACAATATCAAACTCAATAACGATAAGAGGGAGGAGAAGAAGAAGAAGCGCGCTGAACCACCTCGGCCCAGAGGGCCGGTGGGACTGCGGAGAGTGGCGCTCGTCGAGCTCCGTCTATGGGGGCATCCGCGCGGCATGGGCGAAGCTCCCGACAGGCTCTGTCTTTGGTAAGGGCCCAGCCCCCCCCGGGAACAGCCGAAAACATGATCACACCGCCGGCAACACCACGAAATGGAAGCCGCGAGCAGGAACCTCATCCAAGAGCCACGACCACAGCTCCAGACTCCACCTCTCTGCCTGGGTCGAGGGTAGCTCAAAATCGTGCGATTCGTATCGTTTTTTTTTCTGACATTGATATGTCTTTCGTACCGTCGAGGGTAGCTCCAAACCGTGCGATCGTCCGATCCGTGAGGGCCCCTCGGTCCCGAGGCGGGGCGGAAGAGCCCGCGCTCTGTTCTCTCGCGGGGCCCCTTGGAGCTGCAGGGCTTGCGGGACTGTAGCGGAACTCCAAGGAGATGATGGTTATTTGGATGATGATGATGATGATGATGATGATGATGATGATGATGATGATGGTGGTGGCGGTGGTGGTGATGATGACTTGTATGATGATGATGATGATGATGATGATGATGATGATGATGATGATGATGATGATGATGATGACGATGATGATGATGATGATGATGATGATGGTGGTGGTGGTGGTGGTGATGATGATGATGATGTTGAGGACAATGATGATGTTGATGATTATGCTGCTGATGATGCTGATGACGATGATGATGTCGATGACGATGCTGGCGACGGCGATGATGATGATGATGCTGATGATGATGATGATTGCGGTGGTGGTGATGATGCTGACTATGATGATGAAGTTAAGTAGAATGGTGGTAATGATGATGGCGATGATGCTGATGGTGCTGATGATGCTGATGCTGCTGCTGATCATTATGATAATGATGCTGATGATGAAAACGATTCTGATGCTGGTACTGGTGCTGATGCTGATGCAGACGATGATGAGTATGATTATGCTGATGACGATGACGATGACGATGCTGACGATTATGATGCTGCTGCCGATGATGATGCTGATGATGCTTCTGCTGCTGCTGCTGATGGTGATGCTGATGTAGACGATGACGATGCTGCCGACGATTATGACGATGGCGGTGGTGGTGATGATGGTTATCAGGATGGTGATGTTAATTATGATGGTGATGATGATGATGATGATCATGGTGATCCTGGTGATGATGGTGATGCGGTTGGTGATGATGCTGATGCTCATGATGATGATGCGGAGGCTGATGGTGATGACGATTATGATGCTGATACTCATGTTGATGCTGATGCTGATGCTGATGCAGACGATGATGATGATGATGATGATGAGTATGCTGATGATGATGATTGCGATGACGATGACGATGCTTGCGACTATCATGATGATGCTTGTCATGGATGGATGATGATGGTGATGGTGATGATTATGATGATGGCTATTCTTATGTTGATGGTGGTTATGTTTATCATTTTGATGTTTGGTTATGATGCTTCTGATGATTATGATGGTGCCGATGATGTTTATGATGGTGTTTGTCAGGGTGGTGCTGATGCTCATTATTATTATAATATTGGTGATGCTGATGATGCAGATCAAGACAACCATGTCGATGCTGCTGATGATGATATTGCTGATGACGATGATTATGAGCACGATGCTGATGACGATACTGATGAGGGTTGGGATGCTTATGCCGATGCGTACGACGATTATGATGTTGCTGACGACCATTCTGATGACGTCGAGGATGTCGACGATTAGCTTACTGATGATCATATTGATGCTGGTGGTGATAATGATGACGATGCTGATGATGACGCCGATGATGTCGATGCGAATGCTGGCGACTGTGATGAAGATGAAGACGATGATGCTGATGATGATGATGAGGATGGTGAGGGCGACGACGTTCACATTGATGATGGATGATGATGGTGATGGTGGTGGTGGTGATGGTGGTGTCGATGATGTTGATCATGATGCTGATGTTATCTATGATGGTGATGGTAACAGTGTTGATGGGGATGATGGTGACGATGATGATGCTGATTCTTATCATGATGATGCGCAAGATCATGGTAATGATGCTGTTGATGACGATGATTATGATGCCGACGATGATGATTATCGTAATGCTGATGATGTTGATGATGATGATGGTGATGCTGATGATGATGATGATGATGGTGGCGATGGTGGTGATGATGGTGCTGGTGGTGATGATGGTTGTGGTGATGATGCGGATGATGCCGATGCTGATAATGATGATGACCATGATGATGATGATGATGATGATGATGATGATGATGATGATGATGATGATGATGATGATGTAGATGATGTAGATGCTGATGCTGATGCTGATGCTGATGATGATGATGATGATGATGATGATGATGATGATGATGCTGATGGTGATGAGAATGATGATGATGCTGATGATGATGCTGTTGCTGCTGAGGTGGAAGTCCAAGGAGGAGAAGTTCCACCTCGAGAACGCCAAGGCCCGCAGCATGATGCGCATCGAGCAAGGCGGGGCCCCAGCGTGGCGGCGGCCCCGCGCGTCGGCCGCGGGGCCCGGGAGATGGCTCGCTCCTTCCCCCGAGGAGTTCGAGCGTACGCTCGCGATCCGCACCGTTCCATCATCGTGGTCGTCGTCGTCGCCGTTGTCGGCTTCGGCGTCGGCGTCGGCGTCGCTGTCGACGTCGGCGTCGGCGTCGTCGTCGTCTGAGTCGTCGTCGTCGCCGCCGCCGCCGCCGCCGTGGTCGTCGTCGTCGGCGTCGTCGTCGTCGACGGCGGCGGCGGCGTCGTCGTCGCCTGCGGCAGCATCGTCGGTGTCGGGTTTTGGCAGGTTCGCTCCGCTTCGACGCGGCGGCGACGTCGGCGCGGTCGGCGTCGGCGTCGGCGTTGTCGCCGTCGCCGTCGCCGTCGCCGTCGCTGCCGTCGCCGCCGCCGCCGCCGCTGCCGCCACCGTCGTCGTCGTCGTCGTCGTCGTCGTCGTCGTCGTCGTCGTCGTCGTTGTCATGGTCGTCGTCGTGGTCGTCGTCTGCGGCAGCATCGTTGGTGTCGAGGTACGCCAGGTGTCGTTGGCGTTCAAAGTGGAAGGCAATTGGCGCCACGTGCTGGGGCTGTCTTGTGCGATCCTCTCTATCGGATGGCGGAGATCGCTGACGCGATAAGAGCCTGCGAAGGTTTCCGTTGGACGTCTCTGCTGGCCTTGTCCCCAGAGGCGGACCTCAGGGTGGTCCGAGGGCGGGCTTCGGTCTAGGGTTGCCGCAGCCGCCAGGCCCTTTTCCACCTTGATTCCGCCGCCCAGGGACAGCCTCGGGGTTCGGGTGCTACTCGGCGTTCCGACCGATCCGTGTCTGCGTGGCGCACGACCCCCCTCCCACTCAACTTTCCTCTCCCCCCTCCCTCCCTGTCGCCTTCCTCCACCTTCCCTCTTCCCCCGCCAGGGAGAGAGCGACCCCTCGACCCGGGAAACACTCGCGGGTCTCCCCGATGCCAGCGACTCGGACGACGACGAGCCTGCCCGCGACGCGAGGCAATGGGTCGAGTAGCGTCTCCATTGTTGGCCACTGAGCTTTTTCAATCCACTGGTCAGTACGGTTGCGGCTGAGCTTTGTCAGGTCTTCCTCCACGTTCCGCCTCCCCCGCCAGGGAGAGAACGGCCCATCGACCTGGTTGCAAAGGCGCTCATGATCGCGGAGGGAGAGGAGTTCGAGGACGCCGCTTCTGCGCAGCACCGGCGCGGTCAGGCTGGGCGCGGAGCCAGAAAAAGGAGGGCTGGCTGGCTGCTCGGCTGCGCCGTCCAGTCCCCAAGCGCGTACCAAGGAGGAGGAGGAGGAGGAGGAGGAGGAGGAGGAGGAGCGTCCTCCTCCTCCTCTTTCTCCTCCTCCTCCTCCTCCTCCTCCTAGGGCACTACGACGAGAGGTAAGGTGAACAACGGTACGGGCACGAGAGACGGACTAAGGCAGACCAAAGCGAAACCACCCACTACGGTCTTAACATCCGTAGCCATTTCTCTTTTGCTCTCAGCGGTTCTCACGACGAGACAGCTAGCTAGCCCACCTTAGAGTTCAAGTCGAAAGGACCAACGGCTTGGGCAGCGGCAGCGGCGCAGGAGACAGCAGCACAGGCATCAGCGCAGGTACCACATCCAGCAGCAGCCGCAGACCAGCCCGAGCAGCAGCCAACCGTGATCCAGAAGGCGCACGACCGCGGAGGCCACGGGGCACCCGACCAAGTCTTCGGCTCGATGGCCTACCGCTTGGAGATCGGTCACCGCAGCCTCCAGTCGACGAGCGAGGCTTTCTGAGGGGATCGCGAAGAGCAGCGATATTGCTCTCTACACCTTGCACAGGCAGCGCGAGAGGTTGAGGACGACGCTCGACAGGCTCAACAGCGGCAACTCGTTGAACCCGCACGAGGAGATGGACATCCAGCAGGCGATTGTGGCAGCGAGGGGCCTTACGGCACGGCCAGCGACCGCCGCGGGAGGATCACGCAGGCCCGATGCCGTGGGAGTTGGACTACACGAGGCGCCAGTGCGACGAGCTCGAGGGCGTATACACCCGCTGGTCCAAGGCTTGTTAGGGTACGGCTACGACGGGGCCACCTACCAGACCAGCACCGACCAGTCGTTGACGCCAGCCGCCAACCAGCACCAACAGCTCTTCGAACCGAGCCCGAGGCCGCCGCGCACGAGCCCCAGCAAGAGCGTCCAGGGGTCGGAGCAGCCAGCGTTGGTGATCGCCCAGACTCCGAACGAGTATACGCAGCCCACCCGCCAGCAGCAGCAGCAGCAGAACCCGCAGACGCAGAGTCCAATGGCGGCCTGCACCGGCGGTGACATTCGCCTCACGTCGCCGAGGGCGGCGGCGGCGGCGGGGTGGGGGCTCGGCATGATGTCGTGCGCCTGCTTGTTGTTCTCCCCCAGCGCGCACTGCGCTCGCCCGGTAGAGTGAAGCCTTGCCTCGGCCGGCGCGCCGCATGGGCTACCCAGCTTCAGCCAGTGAGGCGAGACCGCCTTCATATCGATGCGGCATCGGTGGACAGCGCAGGTCGAGCGAGCGCCCCGCTCCCTTTCCTGGCCCCAGAAGAGAGGGAGTGGGGCCGGGACGAGTGCGACAACTTCCAGGCCGTTTTTATTTCCTTGTCCCTGCTTGTGGGCGGGGGGAGAGGAGGGGAGGGCGGGCGGGCTCTCAGCGGCGGGGGGTGCGCCCACAGAGTGTGGCAGCTCTCCTCCGCCTGCATGAGCACCGCAGCTCGACCGAGGCAGGGCTCCCTTCCTAGCGAGGCTCGGGAACCGCGTTTCAATGGAAGCGGGCCCCGTCCCCCCAGGCCGCGCCCACAGCCTACAGGTGGTGAAGAGGGGCTCGCATCCATGTTTATCCCAGGGGTTGGCACGCCTAGTCGGGAAGCGAAGTGGACAGACCCCCCAAGGGTCTTATCCTTATCTTTTATCCTCCTCCTCCTCCTCCTCCCCCTCCTCCTCCGCCTCCGCCGCCTCCTCCTGCAGGCGTGGACGTCGGGGGCGGCGACAAACATCCGCCCGCATGGATCCAGACCTCCTCTTGGGGCCACGGATCGATTTTTCGGCCCTCCCGTCAGGCTAGGAGGGTCAACTTCTTGACGTTTATCGGCTGCGAGCGAGGGTGGAAATGAGAAGGAGAAGGCTTTTTCAGAAGCCAGCGGGACTTCACAGAAGCCCTCGCGCCTTTGAGAAGTAGTTGTGTGTCTTCGGGGAAGGCTTAGAACACGTCTCATAAGGCCTGGGGGCTTCCGAACCTGCTGAGAAGATTTTCTCCTTCTCACTTCCCCCCTTGCTCGCCGCCGACAGTAGATACCATAACGCCTGCCATCCCACCCACCCCGGCTGCGGCAGCGCACGTGGCCGTGCAGGTGTATGCTGCTAGTGAGGTGTACGGCTGCTGCGGCAGCGCACGTGGCCGTGTGCTCAGGCGTGCGGCTGCTGCTGTGTGTGAGTGTGTGTGTGTGTGTGTATGTGAAAGCGCGTGGCGGTCGCAGGCTGTTGAGGCACCCGCGCAAGCGCGGTGGCGCAAACGGTACCGACAATGCACGCGGGCCTGATGTTTCATCCAAGCATGATTGTGCACACACGCCGCATGGTGTAAACGGGCAGAGTGTTGTACACAGCGCACGCAGGCACACATTTGCTGCAGCAGCAGCGGGTACACATATATGGTGATGTACACAAGCGCCATGCTGTTCATAGTCGCCGTGGTGCGCACAGGCACCGTGGGCCGCAAATATTTGGGGCCGTACCTTGGGCCAGGAAATACAATGATCACCAACAAACTACGTTGAAATCGTAGTTTCAGGGCCCACCACGATCTTCCGGAGTTTGACCCCGTCAGGGTCCTCGAGGTGTAGACTGGCTTTGTTTTGTACAGAGGCAGTGTGGTGTACACAGGCAATGTGGTACACGCCTATGGTGCTGAAGCGGCAACTGGATCGCCAGCCGCACGGCTGAAGTCAAATATGGTGTGCGCATGTTCCGCATCCTTACGCCATTCCGCAGGTCCTTAGGCCTGGGGTTTACACACAACAGCTGTGATGCTCACAGGCGCTGCGGTACTCACCTGTGCGGCAGTCGTGGTGGACTCGAACCCTGCGTGCACCGGCATGGGCATGCACGTAGAAAGTGTGCTGTACACACGCGTTCTGGGTCCAAACAGAGGGGGGGGAATCGGACCTCAGGCCAGAAACTCAAGAATGAACAACATTTTACATTTTGAATTTGCTTCGCTGCTGCCCTTGAAGATTTTTCAGGTTTGGACCAGTCGGTCGAGATCTCTAGATCCCACCGGTTGAAATAAGTCAGCCAGAGATTTGGCAGGGCCGACTTCGAGCGGATTTTAGTCGACAAGGCAGAACGAACTTGGTCACGATTTGTCGCGTGCGGACGGGCAGGGGCTGGATGTTTGATTTGCGCATGGTGAGAGATCCTTTGAGCTTTAGTGCAAGTGCTCGCTCGTCGTCGTTGGAAGATCCCAGGTGTCGACTGGACTTGAACCATGAGTCTTCTTCAATTGACCTCCTACTTCACGAATCGTGGAGGTTCCCAATTCCATCTGCTCTTCAAAGTGGTCCCGGATCTATCTCGACAGCCGTCCTGCATCGTGACAGCGGTGCGAGTGGGCTGCCGCTGACGTGCCTGTGTGTGCATCGCGCACGCTGCAAGTTGCATCGCACGCAGTGAGGAGGCGCTCGTCGTCCGACGGCAGACCTCTGCAACACGTGGCCTCCTAGTGGGGGGGGGAAGAGAGCAGCGAGCAGGCAGAGTGCGCCTTCCATCTCGTCGCTCGCCCGCCCGTCTCCGTTCGGGTTGCACTCTCCGCCCTCCGAGACCATTGAGCTGCCCAGCATCCACCTGTGAGGAAAAAGAGGGACAGGAGGGACAGCTCTTTTTCCTCACAGGTGGAGCCGATACGTTTCAAGGAGATTTCGTATCACAGCGGAGTGTTTCCCTTCAGGCGTACGTCGAATATTGGCCTTGCGGAGAAAAAGTGAGCTGCCCAGCATCCATTCGGATGACATGCGATTTCTCCCGGTGCTTGGCGGGTTCCCCCCTTCTGCTTCCCGTTTCCCGTTCTTCGCAACGATCGGGGAAGGGTACCCGTACCGCTACTCCCGGGAGATTTTCTGATTCGGCAAATCCACCCGTGTCGATGAGGGCTTCGCGGGAGGCCCGAACAGGCGGAAACAAGGCAAGTGTAGAGCTATCCGTACCTTTTCCTCTTCTGAAAGATCCTGGAAAGAAGTCCCCTGCCCTTTCGAGGACATGTCCCTTCTGGACAAGCCCCCGCACCAGCTCTTCGTCCAGCTGAGCATGGAGGAGGCCGCCGCGAGCGGGGCTGGGCACGGCTGGTCGGCTTCAGTCCTGCGCCAGCGGGGCGGGCGGGAACATCTCAGGCAGTCGCAGTGGGGAAGGGAGGATCCAGCATACCGCAGGTTTGCGTCGTGTCGACGCGGCGGCGACCCCGCCGCGGGCGTTGAAGGTTAATCGCCGCTAGCGCCCCAAAATCGACCAATGTGGAGCGATCCTCCGATCGAAACACCGCTGATTGTTCAAGATTTGACGATCCACGAGGTGTCAGGAACCGGCGCCACGGGTCGTCACGACACGAACCTGCCGCATGAGTTGATAGCGCGTGCTGCAGGTCGTGATTAGTGAGTAGACGAGGGGATGTCAGCCTCATGTCCTACCGAGATAGGGGGAGGGAGAGAGAGAGAGAGAGAGAGAGAGAGAGACGGTGCAATAAACGCACGAAGCCGACAAATGCACTGGGAATGGACGTCCGAACACTGGCAAGGTCTTGGGTCACTGTACGCCATCTTGGGGCGCCTTGGGGCGTTGCTGTGGGCCGTTTCATGGGCCTGGCGCCAATGCGTCCGCGCGCTCGTGCCGCTCTTCGGCCTTTTGGGGGGGCACTCTTGGCGCCCTGTTGGGGCTCTCCCCGGGTCTGAGAAAGTCGTTGCGCCCCGCAGGGGCAAGCACGCGAAGCGAAACCTCAAACACATGTGTTCTGCCATGATTCTGGCCAGTCCGGGAGCCATAAGGGAGGGACTAGTCAGCAATAGTGACCGTCGTTGAAGTCTAGTCGGTTGGCTGGGACCATACCGCTGTGGAAGTCCAACAAGCTAGCTGGGACTCTTGAGGCAATATAGAAGCAATCTTGAGGTCATCGGAGGGCGATATGAGGACCAGCAAGAGGCAGGACAGACATTGGACCGCGCATTCGGGGCGCGCTTGGGGGCTGTTGGGCCGTTTTCACCTGCTCTTGGGACGAGGGAACAACTCACACCCATACCCATAGCAGGGTCGAAGGGAGGGGAACTGGCTATGGGTATGGGTGCGAGTTGTCGGACTCTGGGGGGAACTCCTGTTCGAACGGGGACCCCCATCCGACACAACGCACCCATAGACTCCTCCGTCCCCCTATGGGTATGGGTGCCTGTTGTTCGATCGTCATCTTGGGACGCTTTCGTCTGCTCTTGCATGCTGTTTGGCCCCAGTAGGGTCTCCGCAGCAGATCTTCACCGCCGGCCGCCGCCCTTGGCGGACTACATGCAGACGATGACCTATACGACCAACCTTCGGGTGATAAGGAGGTTCGGGGGGGGAGGAACCAACGTCTCACTCGATCGGTCTCACTATCGATCTCACTATCGATCTCACTATCGATCTCACTATCGGTCCCGCTCGATCGATCTCACTCGATCGATCTCACAATCGATCTCACTTGATCTATTTTATTCGATCGATCTCACAATCGATCTGACTATCGATCTCACAGTCGATCTCACTATCGATCTCACTATCGATCTCCCAAAAGATCTCACGTTGGGTCTCACTATCGATCTCACTATCGATATCACAATCGATCTCATAATCAAAGTCATCATCATCAACATCATCGTCATCAACGCCATCAGCATCGTCATCATCATCATCATCATCATCATCATCATCATCATCATCATCATCATCATCATCGGGACACCATCAACATCATCACCTCATCACCATCATCAACATCATCACCATCATCATCATCATCATCATCATCGGGACACCTTCATCGTCACCATCATCAGCATCATCATCAACATTACGATCTTCGGGACACCATCATCATCATCATCAGCAGCATCGGAACACCATCATCATCATCACCATCATCATCATCATCATCATCATCATCATCATCATCATCATCATCATCTCATCATCATCATCATTAGCAACACCACCACCATCATCATCATCATCATCGAACACCATCATCATCAGCAGCAACATTATCATCAACATCATCATCATCGGGGCACCACCATCATCGGGACACCATCATCATCACCATCACCATCACCATCACCATCATCATCATCATCATCATCATCATCATCATCATCATCATCGGGACACCATCATCATCACCATCATCATCATCATCAACATGGTCATCATCATCACCATCATCGGGACATCTTCATCATCACCATAATTTTCATCAGCATCATCAACAACATCGACATCATCATCATCATCATCATCATCATCATCATCATCATCATCATCAACTACATCATCGACATCATCATCATCATCATCATCATCATCATCATCATCATCATCTTCATCATTATTATTATTATTATTATTATTAATATCATGATTATTATCATTATTGGGACACCGACGGGACACCGGCGGGACACCGGCGGGACACCGCGCCCCACCGGCCCCCGGAAAGGAAACATTTGGTCCGGCCGCGCCTCGGCTGGAGGAGATTTTCTTTTCGCCCGCCCACGCAGCTTCGCCTCGCCCGCACGCACGGCACGCACGAACACGAAACCGAAACTGATTTCCCGGTAGGGGGGCTCTCCGTTCCACATCGATCTCAACCCCATCACCTCCGACTTTCCTCTTACTTGAGTTCCACGTGTCGAGGGTCTAACCCTCTTGTGATTCGTTGGGTTGGCGATGAGGGTTGCCTATCAAATGCCTTCCAAACACCCCCCAGGAAGATTTATGCTAGGTTGTTGGAGGATGCCACCAGCGAGCCTTCCAAAAACCTTCCTCAGGAATGTTTCCGGAGGGTTTCCTCCTAAAAGCTGCCCAAACAGGGATTCCCCAGGAAGGTGATTGAAGGGTCGTTGGAGGAGATCCCACCACAAACCTTTCCAAAAACCTTTCTCGGGAAGGTTCCAGGAGGGTTTCTTTTGAAAGACCTTCCAAAAACCTTCCTCCAGAAAGTTTTTGGACGGTTTCTGGGGGATTTCTATAACGAGTTTCCCCCTTCTTCCCAAGGAAGGTTCCAGGAGGGCTTCCTCGAACCAAAACCCTTCCAAGAACCTTCGTCAGGGAGGTTTCAGGGGCTCTCCTCGTAGAAACCTTCCAAAAACCGTCTTCAGAAAGGCCTGTGAATGGTTCTTGGGGGATTCCTTCCCAAAAATGATCCTCGAGGAGTTTTTTGTTGTATGATTCCTTCAGAACAACAGACCTTCCCCACAAAAACATCCCCCAGGGATTTGTTTTGGAAGGTGTTTGGAATATTAACTTTTTGTCAAACAATAAAATCACACACAACCTGACAATCAACTATCCTGAGGAAGGTTTCAGGAGGGCTTCCTCACGCAAACTATAAGCCGTCCAAAAACCTCACTCCAGATTTCTGAAACCTTCCTGAGTCAGGAAGATGTCAGGATGGCGTCTTCCAGAAAAGTGTCCAAACATAATCGTCCTCAGACATGTGTGTGTGGGGGGGTGAAAATGTTTGGAAGGGTGTTTGGGAGGTTATCTGGATGGTTATTTTGGAGGGTTGTTAGAAGTCTTTCGGCAGGTGTTTGGAAGCTGGTTGGAAGTTGTTTGGTGGTGGAATATATTGGACGACCGCGGTAATTGTTGGAAGGTTTTTGAAGGGCTTTTGGGGCAACCGTCCAACGACCTTCCTCGCCCCCCCCACTCGGAGCCCGGGATAACCTTCCAAAAACATTCCTCTGGAAGAATCCAGACTGGGTTCTGCGAGTTGCCGCACCAGTTCCCCTCCCCCCCTCCCCCCCTCCCTTCCCCGCTCCGCCCGCTCCCGCCCGTGCGCCCCCACCCCCCCTCTACAACTACTCAATATGAAAATACTCTCCCTCTTGCCCTGATGGCGTCCGGGTGATGGCCGCGCACCCTCCGCGTACTGTTTCTTTACACACAGGATGCCCGGGAAATCCCGGGAAACGACTCTCGCTGAGGCGCCGGCGTCATTTTTTCCCAAAATGCTGCTCTCGTTGAGGCGCTGGCCTCATTTCTGCTCCCGAATCGTTCCGAATCGTGCTCCCGCTGCAGCGTGGGCCTCATTTTCGGATCGGTGTTTGGCCTCCGTCGTTCAGGATGGCGTTCTCGCCCCAGCGCGGGCCTTTTTCTCGCGCGCCCATCCGCCCGCCACCACCGCGCCGCACCGCCACCACCACCACCACCACCACCACCACCACCACCACCACCACCACCACCACCACCACCACCACACCACACCAGCACCAGCACCAGTACCAACACCACCACCACCCAGCACCACCACCACCACCAGCACCACCACCACCACCACCACACCACCACCACCACCACCACCACCACCACCACCACCACCACCACCACCACCACCACCACCACGACAACCACGCACACACGCACGCACGCACGCACGTGCACCACCACCCACTACGCACGCGCGCGCGGAGCCACAGGTCCGCTACGACACGCGTCCGCGGATAGAGAAAATCAGCGCCATGGTAAGGGATGGGAGGGAGGGGTAGGACGTCAGATATGACGCGAGCGCACCTAGCTTGCCCCTCCCCCTCTCCCCCCCTCCCCCCTCCGGTCCCCTCCCCTCTCCCCTTCCCGGCCCCCCCGCCCCCCTCCTCCCCGCCCCTCCTCCTCCTGGCCTCCCTCTCCTCCCCCCCCCCCCCTCAATGTCCCTCGCCCCGTCCCGCTCCCCCGCCGCCCTCCTCTCCGCCCCCCCTCCGCCTGGCCTCCCTCTGCTTCCCCCGTGCTCCCCTCCCCTCCTGGTCGTGCTGCCGCTCCCATTCGTCCTGCCGTCCGGCTGGGTCTTCCCGGAGCCTGTGTCGGGCCGGGCGAAAGGGGGGATTGGGAAAGGGGGGGTTACGAAATCTGCTGCATGCAGCTGGTTTTGGCCCCACCGAGGGGCCCATTCCTCGATACATTGGCGCCTCCCGGCGCCGGGAGGCGACGGGAAAATCAGCTACGTGAGCTGATTCTCAAACCCCCCCTTTGCTATCCCCCCCTTTCGCCCGACCCGACTGTGCTGGACGGAGCGGAAGGAGGTGAGAGCGCCGAGGCCAAACCACTGCGCTCCCCTGGCCTCCCCGGGCCTGGGAGAGCCCCTCGCGCCCGAGGTCGAGCAGGTGGGCGCCGAGGTGGAGATCTTCATCAAGACGGACCAGGCGCACCGGGATTTCTGGAAGGCCATGATGGTGGTCGCCCAGGACGGCCCCCAGGGGAGGCAAGAGGAGGAGGGAGGAGGGACACGATGGGGTTCCAGGAGGAGGGGGAGGAGGGGGAGGAGGAACAGGAGGAGGAGGAAAGGGAGGAGGAGGAGGAGGGGGAACAGGAGAGGGATCATGAGGAGCATGAGGATGATGCTGATGATGATGTTGATGATGATGATGCTGATGCTGATGCTGATGCTGATGCTGATGCTGATGATGATGATGATGATGATGATGATGATGATGATGATGATGATGATGCTGATGCTGATGCTGATGCTGATGCTGATGATGATGATGATGAGGCTCCTTCTCATCATTCCCCGTCTCGTCATCCTGGAGCCTTCTTGTCCACGCTAGTGAAGGATGATGCGGAGGATGAGGAGGAACATGGGGAGTGGTAGGAGGAGGAGGAGGAGGAGGAGGAGGAGGAGAAGGATGCGGTTGAGGAGGAGACGGTGGATGAGAGACCACAGTAAATTCAGGATGCCTCAGCGATGCTGCAATACACCCTCCTTTTCCAAGTTCCTTCTAGCTGAGTTCTCTTCCTTGACTCCCCTGACCGTCGTGGTCGTAGTCGTCGTGGTCGTGGCCGTCGTCGTCGTTGCATAGTTGTCGTGGTGATGGTCGTCGCTGTCGTCTCTGTACTCGTCGCCGTCGTTGCCTGCGTGCCCTTCAGCGTCGACCCCCCGACCTCTGCTGGAGGCGCGTGTTGGCCGAGAGTCTCAGGCGGATTCATCCGTGGCTGCGATGGGGGCTCGTCTGGAGGACATGCAACTGAGAAAGACGTCAAAACTTGGTGGTGCCTCTGGTCACACTTGGAGGTCACCAGACGTCTCCACAGCTCTCAGAGGTCTCCAGAGGCCTCCTGAGGCCAAGAGCATCAACGCCGCCTCGACCCTCGATCCCCGACTCTCGACAGGACGCGCTCGAGCAGAAGCAGCGCGAAAAGGCCGGCGGCAAGAGCGGCGACTTCGGCGCCGGGGTCGCAGATGGCGTGGCGTCCGAGATCCACGAGCTGCTGTGCTCGAAGGGCAGGCGAGAGGAGGAGGAGGACGAGGGACGGGGGAGCGCGAGGGCGATGGCGGAGGGGGGGGAGGGGGAGAGAACGAGCCTGAGGAGAGGGAAAAGGATGATGATTATGCCGATGTTGGTGATGATGCTGCTGCTGCTGATGATGATGATGATGATGCCGATGTTGATGATGCTGCTGCTGATGATGATGATGTTGATGATGCTGATGATGGTGATGGTGGTGGTGGTGATGCTGATGATGCTGCTGGCGCTGATGCTGACACTGATGATGATGCTGATATGGTGATGCTGGTGTACTGATACTGCTAATG